ATTGCCCTAGAATTTCAGAGCACACAACTACGGCCATCATAGAGTGGGTCTGGAATAACAGGGCCACTCTTTCAGGGTTGTTGGGGGGATTAAGTGAAATAATGTGTACAGAGCGCTTGTGCCACAGTGGTAATTGGCTGTAGTTATCATTTTTTATTATTTAAATTTTTCTCATTGCTGACCCTGGGGTGAGAACTCAGAAGTGGCCCTGGGTCAGGAGATTCTCCCACAGGGCACACAGCTCCATTTTACCAAGATAATGCTTCTGCCTAAAAGTGGCCCAGAGCCTCAGTTGTAGTACCATGGTAGCAACAGCGATGTGGACACAAGGTGTGTGGCCCCACCACGCAGGCCAGAGGCTGGGTAGGACCCACGCCTGCCCTGTGCAGAGGCAGTCACATGGAGCAGTCACTGGCGGGGAGGAAAGCCCATGTACAATGGAAACTCCTCACAATACAATGTGGAAAAGCAATTTTGAGAGTCATTTTTACTTTAATTTTGAAGCCAAGGAAAACAGTTGCATTTACTTTTCTTTGATGGTCAAAGGAAGAAACTGAGGAGCAAGACTTTGATTGGAGCTGAGCTCTTCTCCAGGCCTAAGATGATTGGAATGCTGGGGGTTATTTCTCTTGGGATGCAATTAGTTGAATAAATATCAAGAGAGCAAGAGTAAACACACTCATTACTGCTGCCCCTTCAGAACTGCCAAACTAGCAAAAGTCAAGGGGGCTGAAATCTTTAAGGAAAATAAATGCCTGGAGGCCAAGGGCTGCACAGGGAGTATCCCCCTGGCGTGAGGCTGCCTGGCATCTAGTTGCTTCAGCTCTGGCTCTTACCTCCCGCGTGTTCCTGGGTAAGTCACTGAGCCTAATCTGGATTTGAGCACCTCCACTGGTCAAATGGGGGAATAATAAACCTGGTTACCAGGGCCAATGCACGTCAAGCCCCCAGCATAGTGCTCTGCTCCTTCCCTTCCTTTCTTCCTGCAAGGCAGAAAGCTCCAAATCACTCAAAGCCCAGGTCCTATGGAGACAGAACAATGACACCCGGAATGATTGTGCAGCTCCAAGACTGGCCCCACACTAGCCGTGTGCCTCTGAGCCAACTGCCTGGCACCTGTGTGAGCTTGTTTCCTCACCCTCACAATGTGTACAACACTAATAACTAGCTGTAAGAGCTGGAGTAAGCAAATAAATTGCTATGCCCACAAAGGGCCGCGAGAACCTGAAACCCATCATAAGTTTGTTTTACTTTTCAATCTCACAATAACAATAAAGAAATGGTCTTTCCAGATACTGCAGTCTCAAATCACACATGTGTCTGGCCTCCTACCACGAGGGAGCTCTGGGGAGGGTGCTAGGGCTAACCAGCATGCTGCTTTTAGGCTGGGATGCTCTGTAACCTATGTCAAGATTTCTTTTCTGAAATGGGGGAGCAGTAGTATCATAGGGCAACTGTAGGGAATCAAGGAGGTGGTAAAAGTACCCAGCCTGCTGCCTGTCCTGTCCTCAGTGCTCTTTACTCTTAGTCTGTACTGTTACCATTATTTGATTGTTCGTATTATCACGTGGCTACCGTGTCATTCCAATCTCTAATTTCTGAAACCTTCCACATTGCTTACCTACATGGATCACCCCATTCCACAGAGGTGGTTCAGCCTTTGGGAGCTCAGGGTCAAGGAAAAGAGTTTTCCTGGGAAACTCTGAGAACCCATGCTTGTGAAGGGATAGAATTCCATGATAAACAGAGCAGTCTCTAGAGTATGGAAACCTGGGAAGGCCTGGAAATCAACCCTTTTCCTGGAGCCAGGTGCCTCCCTGGCCTCTAGCAATGTCTTGGGCAAAGGCAGAGGATAGGCCCCAGTGGTACCGAGGTGTTTGTCACCAGACACAGCAGGTGAGGAGCTGCCCTAGCCTGAAGCTCAGCTCCTCCCTATTGTTGTTCTGGGGCAGGTGTGGCTGCCAGCATCAAAGCAGCCAAAGTGCTTTGGAAACCAGGCAACACTCCCAAATGCTGCCTGGTTTCCACTGATGTCACTGTGGCCTACCTCCCAGCAGAGCCCCAAACCCAAATCACAAGCACTCAGATATCTCTCTGCCTACATGAAAGAGCTGGAAGCACTGTAGGGTGGTGGTGTGAAGCACAAGGTCTGCTCTATACCTGCACATTGGCTAGCACCAGGTGGAGACTGGGGGTTCCTTGTGGAAGCCCCCAGCAGTCCAGGGAGACTTTCAGTCTTGTGCCATATCTAATATTTTAGCATAGATGAATGTAAAACCAGAAAACAATCATGCTAATGCTTGTTTTTACTACTATACCAGATTAAGCTTATTTTTGGACAGTCAGTCATATGAGTTTGAAAGTCTGTGTCCCCCAGACCAGTGATGGATTGTGCCACCTTTTAGATTTGTGAGCCCAGACAAGTCATTTAGTCTGAGTCTCAGTTTCCTCCTTTGTAAAATGAAAATAACAATAGTATCTACCATCAGAGGATGTCATAAGCAAGACTATAGCAAAGCAGCTCAGAGTCAGGTAGATGGCACTACACAACAGATATTATGGATTTCCTAACCAATCTGCTCCATAGCCCTCCTTGACACAGCTCTGCCCTCTGGGCATTCCTGTCATGGACACCCCAGTTCTCAGATCCCTTTTCACAGCACTCCCCACTGCAACATAACTGGTGGTGGGAGCGTATTCCATTCCATCAACAAACAGCTGTGCACCTGTGCACACCAGGCAATGTGCTAAGCACTGGACACACAGTAGAGTTCACCATGGCCCTCATGGAGAACCCCATGGGGCAAAGTGATGACATGCATCTGATGGTGACAGGGACTCTGAAGGGAAGGATAGAGAGGTCACAATCTTATGTAGACATGGAGGGTCTCACTGAGAAGGTGATATTTCAGTAAAGACCTGATAGAGGCCAGGATGTGAGCAAAGAAGAGAGGGGCAGAGCATTCTGCATAGAGAATAGCAAGAACAAAGGCCTTGAGCTAGAAGTGTGTTTGGTGAGCTCCAGGGACAACCATAGGCCAATGTGTGGAGGTGGTGTCCAAGGAGGGAGGGTAGGGGTCTAGGAGATGTGAGAGGGAGCAGAGGTAGGTCAGGGAGGGCCCGAGACCATCATTAATTTTCATTCCAAAGTGGGGTTTTGAGGAGAAGAGCAATCCAGTCTGACTTTGGTAAAAGCTCCCTCTGGCTGCTGAGACAGGCAGGATAAGCAGGAGGGTAGGGAGGGGCAGGGCAGGAGACTCCTTAGGAAATGACTGCAATAGTCCAGGTGAAGGGTGAAGGTAGGCTGCACTGGGTTGGGGGTGGCAGAGCATTCTGGGAATGTTTCTAGTATGTCATAACTAGATGTGGGGTATTAAAGAGAGAAAGGAGTTGAGGACCACTTCACAGGGTTTGACTTGAGTAACTAAGAATAGAGTTGGCATAGATAAACTGGGAGAAGCAGGTAGAGATGGAGGTATGGTGAAAAACAGGATAGGTAGAACTGAGATGCCCAGTGGACAGTGAGAGAAGATACAAAAGAAACACTGGATACATGATTGTGAGGTCAAACAGAGACTACGGGGTGATCCACGCCAGGAGGAGATTTAGAAGGTCAAAAGACTCGAGACATTAAGGCGAGAGCATGAGGGTAAACCAGGTGAGGAGGTAAGCAGGAGCAGCCATTTGCTGCTGACCACCAGTGACTGACTGCAGTGCCCAGAGTGGCTGGGGGCCTGGGGCTCAAGGGGTAGGTTCACAGGGATCAAAGACAGGAGCTTCCTGTAATTCTGAGTGTGGTCCACTCTTTCGACGGGTTTGCCAAACTGAGGAGCACACAAATGGAACAGAGCAGGGCTGTGAGGTCAAGAGAATTTCAGTACATTCAAGAAACAGCAGCAGGCAGTAAGGAGTCTGCAATGGCACAGGAGAGCCAGGGACTGTGAGAGTACTGTCCTCAAGAGACCAGAGGAGGGAACAGTACACATCTCTCCACCCCCTTGGATGGTCCATCTACCTCCTTCTCATCCCCCGAGGGTCAATGTTAAGGTCACTTTCTCAAGGAAGTGGTCCTGACCCCTCCCCCTAGGTCAGTTCCCTATGATTCCCTCCTGCAGCACATGACACTTGTGGTTCCCAGCACTTGGGGACCCTGTGATGCTGCAGAAGCCCTGTGAGGACAGGGGCTGGCTGGGTCCTTTATCAGCTTTGTCTCCAGCAGCTGTCACACTGTCCTCCACACTCTAATGTTTGATGTATCACTAGAGAAGGGATGAATAGCCCAGGAGCAGACCTGAAGCATGTCCAGAGTCATGCGCCTATCTTCTGCCCTAGTCTGATTTAATCATGTTGCAATGACTGGACTGTGCGGTCACTGGCTGTTGCAAATGTTTGGATTTAGAAGAGCTTGATTGTTTGTTCCTGTTTGGGGCTCTGTACTTTGGCTAACACAGAGACAAGAGCTATGTGACTGGACTGGACACATTCTTCTGTTGACGCTGTCTACTCCACACTGAACACATTCCATACTCTGTCTAGCAATTCATTAGTTTAGCAAACATTTGCTGAAAGCCTGTTCCATGCCATGTTCCAGAGATAAAAGATTAAGTCAGACCCAGGACCTGCCCCCAAAGAGCTTCAGTGCTTTTGAGGAGCACTACCAGAGAGTGTCCACTGCCAGGCCATGCCCCAGCAAAGGAGAACCCATAGCAGGCGCTACACAGGGACGGCTCAGGCTTTGGGAATGGCAGAGCCACAACTCTGACCTCAAGACTCCAGGCACCACCCCCCTTCTCCTCTCTATCTCTTCTGGGCCCTGCTATCTCCTTCTGAGGCTTCCAAAATAGCTGCTCCCCCAATGCCACCCCCAATTCCAGGAGAACAGAATGTATTCTCCCAAAGCTGCATTGGAACACTCTGCCTGACAAGAAGGATGGGATCATAATGGCAGCCTGTGCTGGCTGGGATGACCTTCACTGATTCTCCCCTCTGTCTACTTCCAGGCTTTCATACAACTACAAAGAGTAACTACTTACTGCATTGCAAGAACCATGCGGCCACTGTGCATGACGTGCTGGTGGCTGGGACTGCTGGCCACGCTGGGAGCTGCTGCAGGCTCAGAGGATGGCTTTGAGGGCACTGAGGAGGGCTCACAGAGTGAGTTTATTTACCTCAACAGGTATAAGCGAGCAGGTGAGTCCCAGGACAAGTGTACTTACACCTTCATCGTACCCCAGCAGCGGGTCACTGGTGCCATCTGTGTCAACTCCAAGGAGCCTGAGGTGCTCCTGGAGAACCGTGTGCACAAGCAGGAGCTGGAGCTGCTCAACAATGAGCTGCTCAAGCAGAAGCGGCAGATTGAGACCCTGCAGCAGCTGGTAGAGGTGGACGGCGGCATCGTGAGCGAGGTGAAGCTGCTGCGCAAAGAGAGCCGCAACATGAACTCGCGGGTCACGCAGCTCTACATGCAGCTCCTGCATGAGATCATCCGCAAGCGGGACAACGCGCTGGAGCTCTCCCAACTGGAGAACAGGATCCTGAACCAGACGGCTGACATGCTGCAGCTGGCCAGCAAGTACAAGGACCTGGAGCACAAGTACCAGCACCTGGCCACGTTGGCCCATAATCAGTCAGAGGTCATCGCACAGCTTGAGGAGCACTGCCAGAGAGTCCCCGCTGCCAGGCCCATGCCCCAGCCACCCCCTGTCACCCCACCCCGGGTTTACCACCCACCCACCTACAACCGTATCACCAACCAGATCTCCACCAATGAGATCCAGAGTGACCAGAACCTGAAGGTGCTGCCACCACCTCTGCCCACCATGCCTGCCCTCACCAGCCTCCCGTCCTCCACAGACAAGCCGTCAGGTAAGTCCTTTCCCATATGGGCCTCTTAGCTGGGCATCAGGTCTCTCTTGACCTGATAGAGGAAGAGCATCACTAACTGAGGCCAGGCCAGGGGCTCGTGGAATCCTCTAGCAATCCCTTGGGCCAACTGTTGGAGCCAGGGGGTAGAAGAGAGGGACCATATTGCTTAGAAGGATGCTTGAAAGGTAAAACCAGGAAACAAGGGCTCAGGAGAGGGCCAGTGTCCACTGGATTCTGAAAGGAAGGAAGCGAGGCTCATATTTTTGCAAGCTCTACATGAGATGCTTGGTATCAGCTGCCAGGATATTGCTCCTGAAGGCTTGTGTACTGTGCAGGGCCCAGAGCTGGCACTCTGTAAATGTCATCCAATTGGCAGTTGGCCAGGGGAAGTAAAGCATTATCACATTAAAGGTATGTTAACACGTCACAGGGATTGAGGGATCGGAACGGTGCTTCAGGGAGCCCAGCAGTTTCCTACGATTTGTCACTGCCTAAGATATAATGAGGCTTCCATTACTCTCACATGCATGTTCCATCCTAAAATATAGTAAAACTATGACAGAGGAGGAATGCAGCCATAGCAAGTTGCGAAGCTTGGGTATATGACTTTATTAACCCCACGGTTCCCTCGAGACAGGTTGAGCAATGATCTTACAGGTTTGGGGTCCTAAGCTATACTTGAATTCAGACCTTTTTCCTTCAAAACTTGAGCTAACTACTCTGTACTCACAGCTTCTAGAAATCCTCAACGTTGGGGTTGCAGGCCAGAGGCTCCCCTGCCAGCTCCCTGGAGCTCGGCCTCTCACTCATCAAGGAGGCAGCAGCCTTCCAAGTGGGCTGCCATGTGGGAACTAGATTCTCTCTGCCGAAGCCGCCCATGTGTCTGCTCTAAGTGCTGTGGGTACCACTTTGCTGGATAAGCAAGGAGATACAGCACTTTTATTGAAAACATCCTGTTTTACATGTATTTCTCACTTTAAAAAATAACCACTGGTACCAGTAAGACCAATTTATTATTGCTAATTCCAGAGAGGACCTGAACTTGTAGGCAGGACCATGGCTAATGGTGGCATTGTCCCATGGAGGGGGAGGTTGGCTGGACAGAGGGCAGAGCTTCTCAAAGGAAAGACATGGCGTAGGCATGAGGGGCTGAGAGTGGGTTCTTAGAATAGACTGACCTGGGTTCAGACCCTGTTTCCTCCACTGATCAGCTCTGGGACATGTAGGCAAGTCGCTCTGTCCCTCTGGACTTTACCTGAAGCTTCAGGTAGGTTCTATTTTAATTGTCTTCCAACTAACAGATCCATGAAATGAAATACTGCAAAAAGCGTGCTTAGCAGGTGCTGGGCCCTTAGTAAGCTGTGTCTCTTTTAACCTTGATCTTTTAGTCTAAAAACAAGGACACTGAAATAAACAACCCCTCTTCAGCTGTGACATTCAATGGCTGATTGGTGGTCAGTTTGTACCATACCTGCTTTACTTCAGAGGCTCTGAGGGAAGGGGGCATTGTCTCCACAGAATACCCAGAGGGCAAAACAGGAAGACCTGGCTGAATGTGGTTATAATCCTGACATGAGTCAGGCAGGTCTCAATGGTTACCCAGCAGATTTCCTCTTGCCTAAACATCTCTGATTTCTAGCTCAACAACTTCAGGACATTCCTGGGCTTGAACTATGTTGGTAGATACAGTATGTAAGATGAAAGACCCGGGTTTGCACCAGGCCCAACCCTGTTCACTGTTCGTTCATGAGCAAGGTATTCAACTCCTCTGAGTCCCAATTTTCTCTCTGTGAAATCGGGACAGATCTAGAACTTCACAGGATTGTCATGGAAATTCAGTCAAGCATATAATTTTGTCGCATGGTGAAGCCAACACTGGCCAAGCCCTACTTTATGCTTGTCATAGGGCTAGATTGGTGGTGGTGGTGGGGTTTGAAAACTATGGTCTCTGATTTCCAGGAACTCAGTCTGGGGAGGTGGCAGATACCTGAATGTACCTGGAATCCATCCAATCTCCATCATTTCTCTCTCTAACACCAGCATACTGGGTTTGACAAGAGAGTTTTCTAAGAGGGGCTATCTGGCATGGTCCAATTTCTGAAACACTGAGAACTCATATGGCCAGCCTAACAGAGCTCCTGAAGTTGGGAGTGCAGTGAACACTAAGCTGTCTGGCCACTGTGTTAATACCTCAGTGTGCCAAGCACCCTGCAGAGGAACACATGAGGAGCAGTGGGGCCATTAAGGTGGCATGGCCTAGTCTGCCCAGAGGGAGGGGAAAGGTGGGGACTTCTGAGAGTTTACAGGCAGACCTGAGAGTTGGGAGATCAAGTTACCAGTAGGCACTTGATGGAGATGAGCCTGGGCAAAGACCCAGGAGCATGGTCCTGGCCTTTCAGTAGGCCCAGATTCCTGCTTCTTCACAGTCCAGTGTGAGCTGTAGGACAAGTAAAGGGGCCCGGGAGCTGTGTAACCAAGGCTCCTATGCTTAAAGCCCTTTTAGGAAAGTACATGGTATGGAAAGGAATGATTAAGGTTACATTATTGTTATAACTCAAGCCCCGGTATAAAATCCAAGGAAGCAAGAGACCGAAAATTTAGGTGGCAAAGGCTTTATTTCCAGGCCTAGCGACCAGTCTCCAGGAGCCAATTTGGAGACTGTCCCCCAGAGACTAAAGGGAGGATTTTAAAAAGAGGCTGGAGGAAAAGTGGGGGGGAGAAACAAAGAAACCTGCAGAGCCATCAAATTTGTTGACCCGAGTCTGGAAACTGTATTGCTGTCCACTTAGCTCTGACAATCTTGGGAGTTTCTGGTGTTTCTCAAATTACTCCCATCCTACAGACTGACATTATCTCGGAGTGGCACATCTGCAGCAATATTTGGAGAAGAAAGTGGAGAGTTAATTATCCCAGGACAGCTCGTTTTCGCTAGTGGGTGCGAAGGGGTCAAGAGTTACAAGAAGCTGAAACTTAAGTTTTACAAAGATCTGATATCTAACTCATCTGATGCATACAGAACAAAAGGAAAGCACCGATTGGGGTTTGGGCCATAGTATTTCCCGGTAATTTCTTTGAAGCTAAACAGTTCTTAAAATTGGGGCAGGCTCATTTTATAACAGATCATCCCCGGGTCGGGAAGAGGTCACGAGAAACCCAAATTCTTTATGGCCTAGATAGATAGGTGAGGGGAGAGGGAGGCAATAAGGCGTGCTACAGAACAGGAAAACGGTGGGTATCTATCTTGCTGGAAAGGGAATCAAGGTTAGGTAAAAAGGTTAAACTCATATGCAAATCTCCCTGCACATAAACAAGTTACTTCAAACAAGTGTAAATTAGTGGGCCATCCTAGTTTTCTTTAGCTCTTTAGCGGAGAATAGAGGCACCTAACAGTGATTAACAACCCTTGTTAGCTTGTTTTAGCATAACTTCTGTAGTTTGTAGAGGGCAACAATGGTTAACATATCAATTAGGTGAGATTCTTGCAATTCTTTACAGAGGAGAGTATTGCTCAACATATCAATTAGGTCACTTAACATATCAGTTAGGGAAAAAGGATAAAAAAACACATTTAGTAAGCCACATTGCAGGTTTGCTATAATACACAAAATAATGAAGGTATTTTCTTAGAGTACAACAATTATGGAAATAATTTTTTTCCTTTGAAGCATTCTGAAGGGCTGGAGATATAGCTCAGTAACAGCACCTACTTGGCAAGTGTGAGGTCCTGAATTCAATTCTTGGTACAATAAAAAAAAATAATAAAGAAAGCATTCCCCCCAAATGTTGGTACTTGATCATTAGCAACAGATTGCTTGTGTCCCATCTCACCACTGAGCTTCCACACAAACATGGACATGGGTGGGAGGAGAAGGATCTGTAGGAAAGCCCCGCCCCTTCCTGAGGTTGGATTAATTGGGAGGAAAAAGCAGATGGCCTCGCGCTATTGAGCATGAGCTCAGAGAGCTCTTATAAGGCTTGTGAACTGGGCAGGTTTTGATGCTGGAAGACAAAACCTTCTCTGTGCTCTCCCAGGAGGTTTTATTCCCAGGACATTACTCTGAAACACCTTTGAAATGAAGCACTTTTGCACCCAGACCTTGGCATCCTCTCAGCTTTTCATCCAGCAACCCCAGAGCCACTGCTCTGTCACCCATTGTCTGAACTGCTCAGCCCACAGCATGCCCTTCCCCAGGGGACAAGGCAGCCAGGCCCCTTATCTGAAGCGGCACTCAACACACTTACTGCCTAGCCATAGACAGATAGTGACAGGGGGCCTGCTGAGAGCAGCGGGGAGGGGCCCAAGCAGCTCCTGGTGTTCCACCTGAGCTCTGACCTGTCTGTCTCAGGGCTGGCCAGACTTGGGGCGTTTTGTTTTGGGTGGTTTGTGTTGAGGCCAGAACTGTAACCCCGTGGGTTCTGGTATTGCTGTTAAAAAGGACAGCCATAGGTGCCAGGGAGAAAAGACAGGACTGATCTTACCCCAGGCGGATCCACCCGTGCCAGGCTCCTGTCACAATGCCTGTCCAAGAGACAGTGGGAAGAACACACAGCGTGCCATCAGCTGCACACCAAAGCTTTGTTGGAAATGCATCTTTAAAACCTAGCAAGAGTGGGAACTTCTAGCCATTTAGCTGTTTTCCCTTCTGTGAAAGAACATGACAGCTCAGTTTGCTTCTTAGGAAATAAAGAAAGAGCTGTAAAATCATAAACTAGTAGAACTGTCGGGACCCCACAGATCCCTTAGCATAGTGTATCACTGAGCCTGTGCAAGCTGAGATTGTTCCTTGGCTTTGTAACTCACAGGACACTGAGATTCAGAGAGGTCAAGTAACTCAGTCAAGGTGACATAGTTAGTATGTGGCTCAGTCAAGGCTCAAACAAACTCTTAGCCACTCAAGGATTCTGTACATTTCCATGGAGAGGCTGGAAGGAAACTGGTATGAAAATCACTCTGAATGCTTGGCTAGTGCCAGCTGCCAGAGACGTGATCTTCAGTCACT